GACACAACATCTTTGTTGGTATGTGGTGCTGAGGATCGAACCCGGGCCACACGCATACCAGGCGAGCGCGCTACCGCTTGAGCCACATCCCCAGCCCATAATCACATTCTTATACAGTACAAATTAAGGGTTCTTTAAAATGGCATGTGCTGTGGGCTCTATATTGGAATATGTTGCTTATGTATGGATAGAATCAAATGAACTTTTGATAAGAGTAATATCTGCCCTTTATTTTTCACTTTTCTATATTTGATAACTTTATGATTTACTTCATTTGTTTGAACCAACAGATATTAATAAACCATGTTTACAGGAAATAAAATAAAACCCCTGCCCTCAGTTGTTTACAGTTTTGTGGGAAAGACAGAAAATGAAATAGGCTTGATAATAGGCTTTACTGTCATAGCGAACACATACTACTATGTAACATGTAGTAGGTTATGGCAGAAGACAAAATCAAATAGCACATGTTATAGAAGATATTTAGGAGATTTCTTCTCTGCATGCTGGAGGATTTCTTAGAATTTTCTGGATTAGAAGTACAAAAGATGCAGCTCATGTAAAGTTCCAGGAGAAACAGAAATAAATGGTCCATTCTAGAGTAAGACATCATACCTGATTAGAAAATTGTCACTTTGCATGCAAATCTCTAGCTTCATATAGGTGTGAAGGGGGATCCCTGTGATTACCACCCCATTTTGTTTTCAAAGAAATATAACTTTCTATTTCTCACAGCCAGTCATGGCAGAAATAAAGAAAAAGAAAAGAAGGAGATGTTAGCAAAATATGCATTTTTATGACAGCAAATCTTTACACGTCTTGAGAAGCCCCTTTAAGTAAGAGGTAATTGTTCCATTTGAAAGTAAAGTTCACTGGCAGTGTCATTTTGAACTTATAAGCAATGTCAGTTTTCTTCTCTTAGGGGGTAAATGGTCAGCGGTGCAAGTCTTATCAGCAGTAACAGGGCACCACATGCAAAGGACCTTGGAGACCAAAGAGGAGAATTGTAACTTATTTTTTCCCAGTAGGTAGTTTTATTTACTTGAAAAAGCTCAATGTCTGGTTTCAGTGTGCTTAGTCTAAATGTACTATAGACTTTAGTCGCCCCAAGCCACCTATGACTACTTAAATTTAAATGAATTTTCAGTTAGATTAAATTGGAAATACAGTTTCTTCATCATACTGGCCATATTTCAAAAGCTTACTAGCCACATGTAGCTGATGGCTACTGTGTTGAACAGTACAGTTCCTGGAAATTTCTAGTGTCACAGAGATTTCAGTTGGAAAGTGCCAACTTTTCACAACCATTAAGTTCTCTGAATAGCTGTCATTTGACATATATGCACTCAGACAATGGCTCTTTATAATTGCACTTCAAGGAATAAATATTTGCACTGAATTTCTTATCTTCCCAATAATAAATTCTTCCATGGTTCTCTTTCTCAAATGGGATCCACAACCATGCAAAGTGGTTACAACCCTGTTTGCTTCTCATTGTTTAGATTTGAAATGCTTTCGTGATGTTAACATCAATACCGATGAGTACACATAACTCAACAAATCATGTCAATTTGAGCACAATCACAAAACTCTCGCCAAATGTTTTCTTTGATATTAAGAGGCTGATTCATAGTGGGATGGGGAGAAGGAGCATGGGAGGAATAGACAAACTCTAGATAGGGCAGAGGGGTTGGAAGTAAAGGGAGGGGTCATGGGGTAATTAATGATGGTGGAATGTGATGATCATTATTATCCAGAGTACAAGTATGAAGACACGAATCTGTATGAATATACTATGTATACAACCAGAGATATGAAAAATTGTGCTCTATATATGTAATAAGAATTGTAATGCATTCTGCTGTCATATATAAATAAAAATATTTAAAATTAGCAAATAACAGAACGTTTATTATAATTTTACTTACTAATAATATTTTTTGAAAAAGTAAATTTTTCTTATATTTTATGTGGTAACGTTTAAAGTGTCAGTAAATTTTGGCTTATTAATGAAATGCACAACTAATTTATAAATTATCAATTTCCATTTTCTTTCTTAGTTTCCTCTGTCATGATGCTCACAGTTTTGGCCTCTTTCATTACTTACAGTAATTCTCTTATACCAGCCTACTTTGGAGATGTGACAGATTCAAGGGGAAATAGTCAAGGGCCAAATAATCAAAAACAGAAGTGATCATGTACTGCTATTTGATGCGTTATCTGTCAGATTTTACTGGTATCCAATATGTTTAAAATTTGAACCACTGATCTGCCATGTGATAGTATATGTGTATATGTGTGTGTGTGTGTGTATGTTTGTGTGTGTGTGTACACACACACACACACACACACACACACTTTTTTCCCCTGAACTATATGGTTTTTGCTATTTAACAATCTAAGACTTGGTCAATATGACTTTAAAGATATTATTCATATTCAACACAGTCAAATTTATAAACATGTGTGTTCCTAGTTAACATCCAGGATTTAGTTTTAAATGTCTGCAATAAATGTATAATGTTCTACAGTTGTACTTTGGGGCTCAGTGAATCCTCACTTAACAAATTGTTATAAATATGTCCCTGAAGAGATAGCCCAGCTTATATATATATATATATATATATATATATATATATATATGTGTGTGTGTGTGTGTGTGTGTGTGTGTGTGTGTGTGTGTGTGTGAGTTCTGTGTTTCATTTTGTAATTTAGGAAAAGTAGGCTATCACAAACCTTGTGAGGGTGAAATAATGAAAGCTATCATTTTTTTTCTTGTTACAGGGAAAGCAGAATACTTTGATTTCCTAGGAAATCATATCTAAGATAAAATTTCACTGAGTCAGGTTGAGGGATAGGTCATCTTTTATTATTGCTGTTGTTATATGAAATCTATTTTATTAACACATTAAGTGTACATATTTATGAGATGCACTGTGATTGTTCCATATGGTGTGACTTGATCCTATTCATCCCTCTTTATTATTAAGGGTGTAAGGGCAGTATTCATTTAATCCTTTCAAGGATAAATTAATTCTACCTAATTTCCATGGGTGTTCATCAGTTTTACTTGTAGACAAAGTGTCCTTCATTGAGAATTAATAGATTCTTAGAGTGAACTTTGAAATAGTTGAGCTACTTGACATGGCATGCAAAACTTGTGCTTATATAGAGTGTGCAGGTTCTTATCTTTTATCATGTGAATTGAGCTAGTTACTTTTTAGATTTGTCCTTTCTGCTACATTCCTGCTACCAGTGCCCTCATTCAGGGCCTCTGCATCTCTTGCTCTGGTGTGGTGCATCATGACTTGTCCTACTAAATGGCCTCACTTACATAACCATTAAAGAGCTCCAAACTACCAGGTGGAGAGGAATATAAGCATTTAACTGATCATCATGTCAATTCTCTCCACTAGGATGCTCAGTAAATATATGGCAAGGGAGTGAATGAATGAACAAAGGAATTATTTTTCCGTCTGTTCATTAATTTAAAAGAATTCATTTTAATTCAAACTTGTTTTCATATGCAAACACATTCAAGACCAGATAATTCTATTGACATTTCTGAAAATTTGCCTTTCTATATTAACTTGTTTGGCAAACAATATTTATGGTGAAAACATGAATCTAATGAAGTCATTATCAGGCTCGTCCCATTTGCAGTCATACTTGAAGAGAATGAAAAATATCCTCTTTTCATAGAAGAGGTGGTGGAGGAATAAAATAAGTGGGTAGGTAGGAAGCTGCACAGTATCCTGCCACCCAGGCTTGACAGCTCTGTTGCCCATGGGTAAAGCAGCTGGATGCTTTTGACACACTTTTCACATCTTTAGAGTGAAGTGATAAGGGCTGGTTAGCTAACTCAAAACCACTCTCACCATTGTGGTACATTTCCTACCAAACTTCCTCCAAAACTTGTTTCTGTTGTTTGAATAAATGGGAAAGAAAAGGGAGAAAGTGTAAGAGGAAAGAAAGGAGAGAGAATGAGAATTTAAGCTACAAAAAATTAGAAAAATAGTGGATTATAGTATTTGTAATTTTGTATTCTACCGTTTTGACTTTTATGTATTTATTTATTTATTTTGGTACCAAGGATTGAACCCAGTGGTGCTTAATCACTGAACCATATCCCCAGCCCTTTTATTTATTTATTTATTTTAAATTTTGAGACAGGGTATCACTAAGTTGCTTAGGGCCTCATCAAATTGCTGAGACTTGAACTTGCAATCCTCCTGCCTCAGCTTCCTAAACCCCTCGGATTAAGGCATGTTCCACCACACCTGGCTGTTTTGATTTTTAAGTCTAATATTTAGTGACTGCCAAGTACTCCTTCACAGAGAGACTATATTGAACAGGCTCCCCATTTTATTGAGAAGTTTGTTTTCATACAGCTGCAGGTCATGTGGCCTTGAGCAGTTGCTCCATTTGGAATCATTTTCTGATTACTAATGCTCAGGAGTGGAAGGTTCCTGATAGACATCCCCAAGTTTCTGTATCTGTTTGCATTAACAGCAGGTAGACTTTAGACCAAGATGCTAATAAATGTTGCATTTCAGAGTGATCATCTGTAAAGAGATTGGAAACTGTGTTATCATACTTGCACACACATTGGACCTTCCTCTTGACCCACAAAATTTTTTGAGCACTTGACCATCTGTCCATTAAACCATGGATTCTCTTCTGAAGGGGATCCTTTCAGCTCTGGTGGTATTTCTGACATCAGAGAGGGAAGGAAGTATTTGAAAGAATGTAGCTAGAGGCTACATTGGAAATGACTCATTGGAAATGCTCATTGGAAATGACTCGTCTTCCTTGAGAACTTGAACTGCAACAATCATATATAGTAGACAATTTTGGGTTTATGTACAAATTGATATGTGATTATGTTTCCCATGCACTCAAAGCCTTATTTATTTTGACTATATTATTCATATGCTGCTATCTGCAGGGTGCAGAGAAGATACTGAGTAACATGTCAACCTTGACACCACTGTAGATAGAACTCATTTGCTCTCCATGTTAACATATTGGGCTACATTTCCACAGAGTGTGAATTACTTCCTTCCAGGGGATTTCCACTTTAGGTAAATCATTAAGTCTTTCAAGATACTAACAAACTAGCTAGCAAATTCCTCTTCAGTGAACTAAAATTTTAAACTCAGAATGGAAAGGAATAGGTCTGTATTTAATCTTCTTTATTTATGTATGACCATCTCAATAAGAAATGGGTAAGGCCATGGATTCTGGAGAGGGATTTCTAGATGCAGAGCTTCTTTTCTCCCCACAAGATGTATAAGTCCTCTGTGTCTGTTTCAGTTTCCACATAGGTGATATATCTGATGTATTTGAGGATTGAATGAATTCAGACATTGTTTTAGCCAACTTTCTGTCACTATAACAAAATGCTTGAGATAACTTACATGGAGTAAATTTTTGTTTTGGTCCACAGTTGTAGATGTTCCACTGCAGAATTTTGTGAACCCTCTGCTGGGAGTACCAAATGGTGGCAAGGAGTGCATGGCAGAGCAAACTTCTCACCTTATGGCTAGGAATCAAAGGGAAAGAGAAAGGGGACCATGTTCCCACAATCCCTTTCAAGGACACACCTTCAAGGGCATACCTTCAGTGACCTCCCACTAAGTCTCACCTTGTAAAGGTCCCACCATCCCCCCGAAAGCCCCTTCCTGGGAAACAAGCCTCCAAAACATGAGACTTTGTGGGCCAATTAAATGTCCAATCTATAGCACTCATATTAAATGCTTAGACAGTTACTATGTTTCACCTATTATTTTTGCCATGTATTACTTTGATACTCATTAGAAAGATTGCACATCTTCCTTCCATGCAGCTGAAACTGGACTGTCTCTATAATACTTGGGACCCTTTGAAATAGTGACTAACCTGGGAAAGCAGTTAATGGATTAGAATTATGGCCACTGGCCATTTTCTTAAAAATATCAAAAATTGGTGCTATGAATAATCACATTTACGCAGGTGTGTGTGTGTTTATGATTTCATTTGAACTCCTAGAAATGTAAATATTTAGGGCCTTAAATTCATGATGTAGTTAATTGTTTAAGCAAGAAAATAGCTACATTGATTGATTCTCATTTGCTTATTGGAATTTGGCTTTGTAGACAAAATTGTAGGCTACAATTTGGGAAAACTGTGTTCAGTAATTTCTTAGCCTCTTAGCAGGAGGACTTTGGGTGGCACAATACCTTTTTCTTAGGGTCTTATCCATATTGTGGATTTGGTAGTTTCTGTGATGTCTATGAGAACTAACATTCTGTGATTGAATCTGCAAGGGTATTTTTTCTCATGCTTCAAAGAATGAATTCTGCTTTTTGTTTCTCAGGAAACAAAATAGTTATGATATAATACATTTTAGGAAAATTATTCTTCAAATTATCCATTGATATGTATTGTATAAGGGATAGATTATCTGTATACCACCAGACAACAACCCCGGGATAGATCAATTTCCTAATATAACAAGCTAATAAGATAAAATTTTATCAAAAGTAAGTCACATAGAAAATTGGCAATGGAACTCATATCAGAATAGGTTTACTCTGACAATGGTTTTCCCAAAGAGTTTGCCCATTTAGCAATGCTATTGTTTATGGAAAGTCTAACTTTGGGAAATTCACCTTTTTTTTTTTTTTTCGTACTGGGGATTACACCCAGGGGCACTTAACCATTGGGCCACATCCCCAGCCCTTTTTATATTTTATGAAGAGACAGGATCTCCCTAAGTTGTTTAAGGCCTCGCTAAGTTTTTGAGACTGGCTTTGAACTTGTGATCCTCCTGCCTCAACCTCTTGAGCCATTGGGAATACAGATATGTGAATTCGTACCCAGTGGAAATTCATCTCTTGATAAGGCCATGAACTCATGTTCAGTATATTTTCTACCATACAAAAAGAGATTACACTTAGCCTATCATGTTTATTTCTGTGAGCTTATAATATTTATTACACTGTTGTAGTCAGTCTGGTCTGCTATAACAGAATACTATAGATGGGTAGCTTAAGCAACAGAAATTGTTTTCTCTTGGTTTGGGAGGTGGGAAGTGAAAGGAAAGTGACCACAACACTTGGAGCAACCAAAAGATCTTTATTGCAGCAGTGCAACAAAGAGAAAAGAAGGAAGGAAAGAGAGAGAAAAGAGAAGAGATAAAGAGGGAGAGAGCAAGAGCAAGAGACAGACAGAGAGCGTGTGCAAGAAAGATAAAGAGCAAGAGAGAGAGAGAGAGAGCAAGAGAGAAAGAGCAAGAGAGAGAGGGGCCTGGCAGGAGGGAGTGTTTATAGCCCAAATCTAATGGGGCCTCTGGGTCTGCAAGCTGCCTTGTTGGCCCAAGGGGGTTTGAGTGCTCAGCCTTGAGCGGCACTTGACACAAACAGGTGATAAAGGACCAGATAGAGGGGGGTTTGAGTGTGTGGGCTATCTTGCAGCCAACATCTGTTCAGCCTGCCCTGCAGACAATACAGTTCAGCCTGCTCTGCACCCAACAGGAAGTCCCAGGTCAAAGGGTCAGCATGACCAGGTGCAGAGTAAAGGCCCGCTTCTTGTTTAGAGACATCTGTCTTCACATTCTATCCTCACGTGGCCAAGAAATAGCATGCTCTTTTGTGTCTTCTCTTATAAGAGAAGTAATGTCATTATGACAGCTCTACCCTCATGAACTAATTAACTCCCCAAAGCCATATCTCCAAATATTATTACATTGGAGATTAGAGTTGGGGGTGGTTGGGACACAAATATTGAGGCCATAGCAGATACTTTTCGGTTCTTGAAATAAACAACATTAGTAGGTCATGTCTTTGTTCAGTAGGAAAATGCTCAGCTATTGCCCAAATTGAGCAGTACCTCTGCTTCCAGGTGTTTAGTGTCATGTTATGCCTATGTCTACCTGGGGAACCAAGACAGGCTGGTCTAATCTCAGCATCATTCTTGTCCCTGCGTCTCCTGGTTTACTGTTGAGCAAACACAATTACACATCAAATAGCAATGTTTCTATCAACAATAGACTGCATATATAGGTTATATCTGAACTAAAAAAAAAAATTCCATTGCCTAGTGACATCATAGTCATCATTTTATCATAGTACAGTGTGTTTCTTGTGTTTCTGCTGATGCTGGAATAAACACATCTGCAACACTTTTAATCATATATAAACATAGAACATACAATCATAAACAGTACAAAATATCTGGTGAATAACTGCATTACTGGTTTATATATTTACTATACTATAATTTCTATTGTTATTTTAGATTATACCCCTACTTTAAAAATTGTACTGTAAAAGAATATGTCATGTTATACGAGGGGTCACATTTATAGGTCTCTTGTGTACAAAGAGGACATGTTGAGTGATTGACCTATACCATCTAGGTCTATTTACATATACTCTATGATGTTCACACAATGACAGAATCACCTAACGATGCCTTTCTCAAACTGTGTCCTTGTTAAACAGCACACAACTGCTCTAAAAGCTGCTCTCCATCTGTGCCTCTCCTTCAAAGTAAAACAGTATTTTGATGGTCCATTGACACATTGATCATAGAGGAGCTACATCTGACATAGCAATTAGGGTTTAAAGTCAGCACTTAAGGTGAAAACTGAAAATGTCCTTGGAAATCCATTAAGTTAGACATAAGGTGATGTGTAAATAGATTTGTATGTACAACTCTAGGCAGTAAAATATGTATGCACACAATACAATATCTTTAAACTAGAATCACTCTCTGCACACACTGCAGGATGCTTACACCCACAGATATTCCCCAAAACCAAAGCCCAGTATGGGTGTAGCTGATTCATTTTCTTCTAGTTAGGACCCTACTAGTTAGATTCACTAAAGGGCAGTCAGAGTCACTTGTTGTTTCTCTCCTTCCCTGTTTGTTGCTTAAAATATCTACACTTAGAATTCTGTAAATATAATTCAGAAATGATATGACTCTTATAAAACTTAGGTTAGCTCTTAGATGGATAGAATAATATTTCATAGGTGGTCACTTTAGGGCATTAGCTCAAAAATATTTTCTAACAAATCAGATTATTTATTGAGTACTCACTATTTGTGTCCTTCATCCTTCCCCCACAAAAAAGAAAGGTTTGTTGAAACTCTGAGCTCCAATGTGATAATATTTAAAGGTGAGAATTTCAGTAAATAATTAGGTTTATCATACAGATAGCACTAGAAAATAGTAAAGAAAAAATATACTGGTAAATAAATAATCTAGAAATGCCCTATTTTCTATAAAAAATTAAATCTACACCTGTAAATACTTAAAAAATTAAATCCGTAGTTTTCAAATACCTTGCATGTAGGTTAAATACTTAATTTTTAAAGTGAATATTAAAATTACTGAAATAAAATATAGGATAGTTTTTATAAATTAAGAGTAAATTTTCTTAAATGATATATAAAGTTATAAATACTAAATTTAAAAGTTGATATTTCGGTCTACATTGAAATAAAATATGTCCTTTTCAAAAAAATCACTATAAAAACACTAGTTAAGTCACACAACGGGTATAGATATTTATAACATATATAAACAACCTAGAATAAGTGTTTCAATTTTATAAAGAATTTTTATGTTAGCTCACAAAATAGACAATCACTAATAGGAACATGGACAAAAGATTCAGACAGGTAATTTTCACAAGAGGTCAGAATGAATGGGCCAATAAATAAATTGACAGGATGTTTCATTTCACTAGAGTTTGGTGAAATGCATGTGAAGATAATAATCAGATAAGTTTCACACTGACAGATTGGTAAAACATTTTAAATCATTAAAATAATAAGTGTTGATAAAGATACCTAGAAAAGGAACTTAATTGTTGTCTGGTTAGGTTTCTTAAACCAATTTGCAGAGCAATTGCTATAATGTGCATATTTTCAACCCAAGTTCAACTGGTAATGATTCAGTAAAAAACCTCAAGTATGTAAGAAGGATAATGCAAACAACTTAATTATGGGGTTATCTGTATGAAGAAAAAATAAGTACAACAGATACATTTATGAGAAGATCTTTCTTTTACTTAATTCTTTCATTTACTTATTAATTATTTGTTTTGCAGAGTCTGCACACTTAGTTACTTATACCTATACTTTATGTCTACTAAAAAAAGCAACAATACTGGGTCAATTATAAGAAAAAGAAAAAAATCTCTTTGTACCAGTCCTGTATCTTACAATACAAACCAGTAGGCAGGCTACAGAGGTGGCAGTGTGGGGGAAACTTCCTACTTGGTGGCTGAGTGCCAGGAGGAGCTGAAAGGAAAGAGAGGAAAGGGAACTTTTAGAGAGCAGAGGCTTGACTGGTTGTCTGGCATTCTCATCCAATAGAACCTAATATTACAGCTAAAGTGCATCAGTTAGAACTTGATGCATCAATGTAATCAAATCTCAAGTTTAATAAAAGAGAAGACAAAAAGCAGAGCAGAAAGAATAGCATATGTTAGGAGCTTATTTGGTGATGGGTAAATTGCAAATATTTTATATGCACAGTTTAAAGGTAAAATTTTGCTATATGTTGTTTAAAGAATATATTTTGTAAAAGAAAAAAGTACATGAGAGTGGTAAGCACAAAATTCAGGGGCATGGACAATGGGAGAGGGATGGTGGGTGTAGGGGTGAAATGAGATTGAGCAGCAGATCAAAGAAAGCTACAGCTCTATCTGTGAAGATATAGTCCTTAAAAACAAACAAACAACAACAGTTTTGAAGCAAATATGTCAAAGTGAAGCTTCATAGTGGATATGTGAATTCACATATTGCTTTTTTCCTGAGATAGCTTTTGGCATAGCGAGAATATTTCCAGTATTTAGAAACTTAAAAGTTGTATAGCAGGCACTAGGGGTGAAGCTTAGGGGTAGAGCACTTGCCTGCATGCACAAATCCCGGTACTAGGTTACCAGCACCCTCCTTCCCTCCAAATATTGCCATTGCAGTTATTAGTGCAATATATTAACTTATAGCGCTGTGCCATGGCAGCAACAGAAGAGTAAATTACTCTATCCTAATAGCTCCAGTTATCACAATGGGTTGTTTTAAAATTATGACTGAAATTCACTTCCAAGAAACTCTGCACTAGCCACAAAGCTAAATTCATGACTTTTATACTGATCAGCTTTACTTTGAATTGAAAGACCCTAGCCCAGTTAGCCTAGTTACCTAAGGCCAAGATATGAAACCAAGATACCAGGCAGGCCATAAACAGGTTCAGGCACCAGGCATGCTCTCCGGACAACCGGTTGAAGAACAGAGCACCTGCATCCTGAGGCATAAATGAATAAACCGGAACAGATAAGCAGGAACAGAAAGA